CAACAGCAGAGTCAGCCAAGTGTGAGTGTAGCGTAGTGGCGAGGAGGTACTCACTTGCCTTCAAATCACTTGCTCCCGCCTTCTCCCCAGCCTCCATCAAGCACCATTCCAAGTACTTTACCGCACTCTCTCGCTCCTATCAAATCCGACGCCCACAAATTCTGCGACAGGTACACTGTCTGATCAAGCGCACAACGATCAAAGGCAACACGTCTCACGATGGGTTGGTTCAGCTCCACCCCAAAAGCCAGCTCCAGCACGAGCGCTGGCGGCAACACCGACAACGTCCCAACCCGCTCAGCCCGTCAAGCCTGCTGGTCATCTCGCGACGCTTACTATTCCTGTCTCACGTCCAAAGGTATTCAAGTACCTCCCGGTACGGACATTACAAACGAAGGTAAAGGACCTATCGGGAAAGCTGCACTTGAAGAGCAGAGGAAACGCGGAGCAGTGAATGTGGAGGAGGAACGGAACAGAGATCCTTGTAAGCACTTGAGGAACGGGTATGAGGAACATTGCGCTAGAAGCTGGGTGAGTGATTCGCAGCCCTCGAGTGCCTACTTGGGCGCATGTGTGTTGCCCAAGTCTCCGACTCGACTAGGCTCGACTTCAGGTCTCGCTCTTGCTCATGCTTTTGCACACCTCCCCTATATGCGCCTGAACAGGTGGAATACTTCAACAAGCGAAAGGTGCTCGAAGAGAGGCAAAAGCTCATGTTCGCACAGGGCGCCATTCCAGCCGGCTCTGGTCCCGCCCCCGGTGCTGGTCCAGCATGACCTCGTCGAATTGGAGGGCATACAGCCATTGACCGCGAATCACCGGTATTGGGAAGGGCGCATCGCCGCACATTTTCGACGATGGATGGCTCTCACTGCCCTCTGATGCAGTGCGGCATGTATTGGATGTGTGCGCGTCAAGTACATGCTTTCGAATGCCTGCCCGGCCGCACGAGTGGGCTCGGTTCGGCATGCTTCCCGCAAGAGAAGCTTGTCAGATGCGTGTTCACCTCACGACCGTCATCACTCAAATGTCTCAACCACCACGCAAGTACGACGAATCTCGCGCACTGTGCGGTAGCCAACACTCTAGGATTTGATCCCTCTGACTGAAGAAGCTGTAGCGCGCAAAAAAGTCTACAAAGCATGTCCTCATTGCGGAGCACGTCATCTTCACGAAGACTTCTCCTTTACAGATTCAATGCTGGCGCTCTTTTTCGCTTCTGTCTGAGATTGCCTCTCTGTCGGCTGTGCGCTCTTCGTGTCCGATGAGGCCGAGGGCATCACATCTTTTACGCCCGAGATGAGCAGAGTGAGCACTCGAGTGACCACTGCGGACCAAGCACCTGCCGAAACCGATCCTGGGTGGCGTTGGAGGGTTATGACAAAGTCAGCATGGCACAGGTGCTTTTTCTTTGACAGTACGCCTTCCCAACACTTACCAGCGGGCGCAGCAGCCAGACTCAGAGCCCATCCGATAGGTCCGAACCAGGTGCTTCCTTCCCTCGTGCCGGCCGCAGCGGGAGGAAGGAAGAACATGGGCGTCTTGGAGTGGTAGGAAGTGACAAGGAAGGGCATCACTGTGGTGAGCACAATCAGACCTGCTCGAACGAGCAGCGTCAAGGTTGATTGAGCAGACTGAAGCTTTGCATCTGCGGAACAAAGGCGCGACGGTCTTGAGTCAGCAGGTGATTGCGTTAGCTGCCATGTCTGCGCTGCCTGTGCCGAGGGCGGTGCCGCGCCTGTTGAAGGAGACAGGCTCTCGGGAGCAAAACATGTTACCGCTCGCAGCTGCAGTATGTATTGCTATACCCTAGATCCAGCGCATTTGCCAGCAATGTCCATCAGATGCACTACGGTCATGCTGGCATTTTTACACCAGCTCTTGGAAAAGTATTGCCAGGAGCCTGCGGCCAACTTTGCACCTCTCAAAGCCACTCACTACTGCCCTCGATCTCCTGAGTCAGCTTGTCCACCTTTCTCCTGATCTTTGCCCATTTGCTAAAATCATCCTGAGCCGAAGTCTGTCCAAGCAATAACCTGTTCTGCAACAACTCCTTTTTTGCCCTTTGATTCGCGGCTAATGTCGAGGCGGAAGTGAGACGTAGCCAGATGGGGAGGATGAGCGTGGATAGACGGGCGTGACCGATGCTTGAGAGCAGGGTAGAGAAGAGCACCACGAGGATGATCAGTAGAGCTGGATGCATTCTGCCTTCGACTGGGTAAGCTGCCGACCGATGCACAATCAAAATGTCAAGTGAACGAGTTGCGCGGCAGAGACGAGATCAGGCGCGGATTGGATCTCGGGCGGTGAAGCACCTCCCGTCAGGTGCTCTGCACGATGCGTGGTAGTCGTGAGTCGAGCGTTAGGTGATACTTGCCAGAGAGAGAGGAATGTCTCAAGAGGAGGCGCCCGCATCTAAGTCGTACAGTTGAGTATATATGAAGATGGTGAGGGAGCAGCATGGAAAGGAGGCACAGGTCCAGACCCTCGCGTTCGCCTTCTCTCTGCACGTCGCACGCAGCAGATGGCCTCGCCGAGTTGGCGCGTCACGATCGAGAGCATCCAGCAACGCTCCGCGGTGACAGAAAGCTCGCGATGCGTGCACGGCCTCATTCAATCAAATCACGAATCACGAATCCTGATTCATCCATCAGCCGGCATGCAGAGATTCACGTGATTTCTCGTAGCGCGTGTCTGATGTGCTGATGCATGCACCCGCGCAGCTACCAAATTGATGTCACGCTGCCGATGACGCTATCAATCAAGAATGAGCATATGCATACCATGTCCCAATCGACACCTTCTCCATCCAGTCAGCCATATGTCCCACTCTCGGGTTGCTCACTTGCCTCCCCCCACTCCCCGTCTGTCACGCACCGAGTCTTGGTACGACAGTGAGAGCAAAAAGACGTCAAAAGTTGCGCGGTCGGCGTTACTCTTACTCGCAAATGCACACCCCTCCAAATCAGACCATTCCCTCTATGCTCAAAAGCGCAGCAAAGCAGAGCCTGTGACGCATGCCATCGCTGCCAAGCGGATGGCTCACTCATTCCAGCTGCTGCCTCACACTTGATCGTTGCCTTTGAAGCCTCTCATTGCAGCAAGCGCAGTCCCTCCTGGCCGACGCCTCACACTTCCTGTCAAGATGAGTGAGGTACAAACGAACTCGCAGCAAGGGGATGCAGGTGTCAATTCGCAGTCGCAAGATGGAGCCTACCATCACGCAGCGCAGCCAGAGATGGGGAATGGAGGCGGCAGCGAGGCAGTCTACATGCAGCAGTCATCTCAGAATGCAATGGGTCCATCCACGAACGGCTCAGGCACGCCCTACAACCCTTACCAGCTGATGCCACAAGAATTGGCGCAGGGAAACGTGCACATGTATGCAATTGCAGGTCCTTCGTCGGCCTACTATGATCCAAATGGTCTGCCTACCTACTACACCGCTCCACCTCACCAAGTCTATTATCAACAGACGTATCCTCAACAATACGCTCAAGTATACGGGCACTCTCCATATGTCGCCGCGCCACTGCCGAATGAAGGCTACCGACATCCACACCCGCCCCAGTACGCCCAGTCGAGGCCTGATGGCTATGCAAACCGATATCAGCACCAAAGAGGAGGCGCCAGACAGAGCAGCGGATATCGCAACATGGGCTCGAAGCGCTCGTCTGAGCCTGCTGCATCGCGGCAAGCTTCGACGAGCGGTGTAGCTCACAATCAAGGTGGCGCTGCAAACAATGCGAGTGCTAGTCCTGGTATAAGATCCGAAGCTGGACTACCGCCGGAATCGGCCTCTCCCAGCACTGGCTCTGGCGTTGGTGGTATGGAGACGCCAGATCGAGCGGCCGATCGAACCACTTCAACCGATGTCGCCCTCTCAGCAAGGACCGGAACGACGACTTCGCCTGCTCGATCTCTGAGCTCCTTGCCTGTCAATTTGAAACTCCCTGCAAAGCCACCGCCTCCTACTCACATTCCAACTCATCAATCTCAACCCCAAAGTGGTCTCTCCAGCCCTGCTCTTGGCGCCACCTTTCACGGGCCGCAAGGCGCGGCCATCAGTAGCGCAGCAATACACGCGCAGCAACACGAGTGGAATGGGGGTCGACCTCGCGGAGGCGGAGCGTACCAGGCATCGCCTAGCTCCCAAACTAGACCCTTGCCATTCGGCGGCGGCGGCGGACTGGCTCATCCAAAGGTCTCTGCGGAGACGTCAAGCGGCGCACCTCAGCATCACCCTACTGCCTTGCGAGCTTTTCCGCAAGGAGGCATCGGCGCTGGCGCCTCTGAACTCGTCCGACAAACGCCTTTGTCTCGCTTTCCACCTCTGCCGAACTTCCCTCAGCTTCCGGATCCTGGGGCTGAAGATCAGGCGGGAGAGCTGCGAAAGGCCTTGGAGAGGGCAAAGAAGAGGGACGATGCTTGGATTTTGAGACTCGAAGCCATTGGCTTTGAACCTGAGGAAGCTTGGAGAGCTTTTCGAAGGGAGCATGGGCGGAATGACGGTGAACAGGGACCGTCTACGTCCGGTAATCTTGCAACCTCTCCAGCCGTGGAATCGGACCGGATTGCTGAACATGACACTCCCGTCCAAACTGGGGACAACGAAACGGTCAGGAGAGAACCAATCTTAGGAATTAGATTACTGCAACGAGTGCACGACTTGCAAGAGGAGAATCAAGAGCTTGAGCAGATGCTTCGAGCTCAGTTCCGGAGCGTAAAAACGTCTGGATTTGATGAGCCAAATGCTACGGCTGGGCACTCGGAGAATTTGACTTCTGAGCTTGAAGGTATGTTTTCTGCGCCCGCAGAAATTCTTTGCCCTACATCTGACCACCACGGGCTTCTTTTCTGACTCTTGTTTCTTCATCTCCCCCAGATGCTCATCGATTGATAGAAGCTCTAGATAAAGCTCTGACTGCAGAGTCGGCGAGAGCCGAAGCAGCCGAGTCTGCCCTATCCATCGCCTGCGTGCAAAATTCGACTTCCCTGTTGTCTCTGGACGATGCGCATGCATCTTCAGCGCCGGTGCCAAGCCCTACCGTCTTCCTTCCCAGCAGCGGCGCCAAGTCGATAGGGGGTGGTCTGCAATTCGGGCAGGCTGCTGCGAGCCCTCAAACGGCCGCGCGTGGCACTGCCAATTCGACGCCGTATCAGACGCCCGAGCTCGATGCGGCCTCTTTTGAGTGTGAGTTGGCACAGGGTGTGGACAGCTATCCACTCGAGAAAGAGACGGACAGCATGGAGCAACGAGAGCCGATCAAGGCCCAGCTGGGAGGCGGTACAGAGGGATGGACCCAGGCCGGCTCTGGACGTGGCAAGGGTAGATCACGCAGAGGTACTGGAAAAGCAAGAGGCAAGTAGCCGCCATTGCTTCGAACAGCTTTTTCAAACCTCCAACGTTTGTGACTTGGCACGTCTAGTCGCCCCAACTCCCATCATCTGTACGGACGTCACAAGCCAAAGGACCTCGATGTTTCGAGGCTTTCCTTTGTCGCAGCAACCATCCATCGACCTAAAAATCCGACTTGTGCTCGTGCGTTCTCCTGTGGTTTTACAACGCACTTTGCTAGCTTGCGCCTCACTCAAGTCGCATGTAGATACGCACACCCGAATTGACTGTCACCAAGCAGCATATTGCATGGCTTGATCTCTTGGTCTGAAGTTCCCACTCACATGACGGTGCCTCTGAAGAGCAGAGCTCAGACATCTGAACAAGTCCCCCATCGTCTCAACACGCATCCTCATCAAGACTCTCCTCAACGTCGGTCGACTCCTTGATCGTGTACGAAGCAGTCACGAGTCTTTTTCTGATTCAGAGTTTGGATCAAGTTTAATCAAGAATCTGGATCATACGATCACGTGTAGGCGCAATCGTGATTCAAGCCGACGCTGCCTGCTGCATGCATGCATGCATGCATGCTTGGCCCAAAGCGCTCATGCATCCATGGCCACGCGCGGCAACGTGCACCGCCGTCAACTTAATTGGGATGCAGCATGCCGTGGGAATGCACAGCCACATTCCCCCCCGGCTCGTTCAATTTAAATTACGCAGCTGCATAGGATTACGGTATTCATGATTCAAAATTCGAGATTGGGCATGTGTGTGTGATACACACACAGAACGAGAACGCGTGAGTCTGAGTGCTGCATGAGTGCAGTAGCCAGGACAGCCGGGTAGCGCTTCGCTCGGTCAAGCACCTCAGCTGTGACGCCCAAGAGTCGTGACGTGGTCTCGAGGATGTGGACTCTTGAAGCAACAAGTACGAAAGCAGCACTTGTCGACTGGAGGAACACCTCGCAATCTCAAGTCTCTCCTTTGCGCGGCGAGGGGTGATGCAGAAGCAGACAACAGTCAAGTCACGAGTGTAGAGTTATTGTGAGGACCGAT